GCACAATCAGTGTGTTGGTTATTGGCCATATTTGTTCAGATACTGATGCATGATGATTAAAGTGAATCGAATCGGTAACTGATTGTGGACAAGTAGAGATACAGCTTAATGACTGAAACATGTGAATTCCTTTCCTCTTCTTTATTTCTACAATTGACTTTCTGAGGTTTATTGCTTGTAATTTTGAGGAATAATATATTATTTATGAGATCAGAACACTATTATATTTTTAACACACTTAATAAAGCCGATTCTAAATTTATTTCTACCCAACAAGTCCTTACTTTTAGTCCAGAGTTTTCTAACGAACGATCATTACTGCTTGTAAGATTCTAAAAGCCACTAGTTTGATTACTGATTTGGCTTAGTTTTCTGGAATCCGTATACAATGTTATTTGTAACTAGAAATATTCGTCCTTCCGAATTCTGATTGATACATTTGATCTTACCTGGTGTAGTGTGTAACTCAATTTAATAATTAGATGAGGATAAATTTTCCACTCAGTTAGCTTCCGAAAAACAACAACTGTTCAAACAAAATTATTGGCTCGATTAACCAAGTAGTCATTAATTTTTAGTCAATGATCTTTTCCATCTTACCGTGTTCTTTTACTACACTGTGTTTGTGAAAAGTGTGAGAGTAACGTTTCTCATTTAGTGAGTATTTATGGTGTTTAATACGGACAGGTTAAATGTGTATAACCATACGCTCATTTCGGAATACGATATCTGAGCATGTAACTGTCAGATGCTTTAGTTCTTTAGTTTGTCCTCAACTGTATGGCAAACTCGAATGCGTTACACGTGAGTCTTAATATGCTTTTGTTTCATCACCTGTCCTTTTGCTTGTAATTAACATTCTCTTGTCTTATTGATGAATAAATACTTGAGGCACGTCTACTAATTGACAACAGAAATTTGGATGCATTTCAGTACGATTCGGTTTGAACTAGTAAAATGACGTCCTGGATTTATTTTACCACAATACAATTACTAGGCACCTATTGTCAGTACAATTTCTATTCTAATATAAATGCTGATGATTCGATGTACCATAGTCAATAAAAATCTTATTCAATCACAATGGGGTCTAAATCTGGTGCTAATCCAATGCTACCAGTATTTTAGTTTAGTTGTATTCATTCAATTTGATTACAGATTGATTGTTTGTCACTACTTCATATGGTAGACAATTAAATTACTTGAATACACATTCTGAGACACAAGCAAATCCTTGGGCTGTCGACTTCTAATTTCGATTGCCAAACTGTCTTAGTCTTACGTTTACGATATATATAATTACTGTCGATTTCTTTCATTATTCTATGTGCTTAGAGTCGTCGATCCACTTTTTTCTCATTCATTTCTCTTCCACATAATCTCATTTACAGATCCTAACACTCCCTGAGCAAAATAAGTACCTTCAGGCGAGACGTGAACCTACCAAAGGCTGAAAGTTACATTCATATTTTGGTTATCATTCTTTTCATCTGTCCTTGTTCATCTAGCGCAAATTGGAAAATATTTCATTATTGTTGATACCGATAACGTCATGTCTTATGGTCTATGTGCTATAGATGTGGGGTTAAATTCAGTCGTTAGTAAGGTTGGCACGCTATTTGGATTCCTCGGGTTCACATTTCACTCATTCAGAGCTAATGTAGTAGTTTTTCATGGTTTGGGAATCAGAGTAGCGAAAGAAAAAATAACGAATGTGATCAAGGGATGTTCCTAAGCAACTGGATAGTTCACCTGCACACAGAAATATCACACAATTTTTAGATTTGTTCCAAAAATTAGATCTGATGCTTGTTGAATAAATAATAGCTAACTGCTCTCTTGAATACTTGCAAAGGAAATGGGTAGCGATTAGTCCAACCGTAGGCAATAGGGATTGTAAATAGAAACCTTCTTATACTTAAGAAATAGTTTAATCCAATTCCGTCGCTTTTGGAGCGTTTTGTTCATGTTTGTTTATACAATACATATTCTTCCCAGGAGGTATTGTTAACCACTCACAAAAATCATAGTGCTCCGGCGTAAGTCATAGATACAAGCATCTCATTAAAATCCAAGGTTTTCACTCAAAAATTGATGGATCTAGATTATTGCTAAGGAATTATCTACAACCATTTAAGAATAAAGGCCATTCGCTAAAAGTCATACCTTGGAGTTTAAGCGCTAGATGCCCCATCACAAGCACGACTGGTATTGGATGTTGGAAGGTAGTCAGATTACTGACTAACCAAAATAGCTTTTGTTGCCGAAGAGTGACTCTTTTATCTTCTTTTCACGTAAAATTACAACTAAAGTTGAGTGAATAAAATCTGTACATCAGTGAAGAAATCTGTTCGAACATCAAGAGCTCCGAATTGCTTATCATACTCAACGGTTCGGTAAAACAATATATACAATAAGAATTTAAACCGTTTATGGCACCGTTGAAAGTAGAACATAACAAATCCTATTATTGATTGCTTTACATTTTTGAGCTAAGAATTTGTTTTACCTAGTCGGTTTATTCGGCCTCATTAATGAGCTACACTTGAAAATCTACTCTGTATTCAATGTCTTATTATGTTAACCTTAGTTTTTGTTATTAAAATGTCACAATATCACGCCTTTGTTAAAACTTACAGTTGATTGTGGGTTTAACTTATAAATTTAGGTATTCGTTTGTTGTTTTTTGACTTTTTATTTTTACAGATTTCAATAATTCTCAGCAGACTCCCTCGGTACCAAACTTACCCTCAAATGAAGAATAAACTGTTCCATATCTACAAATCACCGCAAAACTTTCCTTAATGGTTATCACGCCCAGTCCGTAGATTTTACGACACATAATATGGTTATTTTTACTTTCTGTCTTTTTATTTTAAGGTAACACTTATTTTGATTAAACATCTATGATATTACTTACTTAGAATTTACTTAGTCAAATCTGGAGACTTGAATGATCTCATCCTCATCGACCAGCCTGAGTTATTGTCAAGATTACCACTCACCTGGTCCTGGGACCTTATTCTTCAGAATCCGTATGAGGTAAGGTCCCATCGTGAAATTTGAAAAGTTTCGTTTTTACCCAGAGATCTTGCGAGTATCTTTACGTCATTCTAAAATATGTCTGTCATAAGGTGTTCTTCGATGTAACTCGTGTTTTTTTCTTGACTGAATATGGCTAGTTGAAATTTAAGAATACTAAATGTAGTTACTTGATAATTTATATAGTTGCAGAAACATCGCTGTAATATTTACAAGTTCATAAGTATTAAGACCAGTGTATTGATGGATGGTATCGTATGATTTTGCACTATTGTAACAAGGTGTTCGATTTCTAGTGGTAAATAAATCCTCGAAATCAATAGCTCTGTAAGTCTTTGGCATTTTATGCTGGCCGCGTTAGTTTTAATGGGCTCACCTAGCTGAAGGCGCTCGGTCATTCATCCGCACCAGATCACGAGTGAGTGCACCTTCCTTGACTTCTCCTACAACCCCTGGTCAGTTTAGACTCGTTACTTATCGATGTGTCAATATTCTATCAAATATATCTTCGAGCCTCTTCACTTCTGACTCCTGATTTTACTGGATCAGTACGTTTTGATTTTTAAAAATGTTACTGGTTGGGGTGTTACCAAACTCAGAATACTTTTGAAACCTGTACGTTGAACGGTTTCACTGGCTTTTATTCTAGAGACTTAATTTATTTCACTAGTTCTCATTTGTTACGAATGTAGTCCTCCACGATTTTGAAATTTCCAATCTTCGTTTGAATATGCTTTTCGTCTTTGTTTATGTATAGTTATGTCTGGTTTGAAGCCAAATAACTACATGTTTTGGCTTCTGAATCAGAATCTTTTATTGCATTTATGCAGCTCCTAATGCATTATGAATTTTACACATGATATAACTGATCTGCCGTTTAATTGTTAAATATCGTTCATTTATTTACTACGTGATATGGTGTGCTTCAATCTCACTGTCAGTTTTGGAATGATACAAGCTTTTTGTGGTCCTAGAGACGAGAACCGATCAGTTTGTCTAAATTTGTTTTCAATTCGTCAACAGATAAAACTATGACTACATGTTGTAGTCAATAACAGTTAAATCTTCACTAGTTCTCAAGGGCTTTTAATCTGATATTACTATGTAACAAAAGCTGTTTCTAATAGAACAACAAACACACGAGCTCATATTTCCTGATTACCCACATTAGTTTCCATCGTATACAACATATTACGTTTTTTTATTTCCATTATTCATTACGTTGAGATGTATAGTTTCTCATTCATTCTGTCATCACAAGTATTAACGATGCTACTTATTTCACTTTACTAATGCAATAAAGTGGTACGCTACTGTTTTTTACGAGAATATATTATGCTTTTTTTTAGATATACATGAACATATGTACATCTGTGTATTAAACTAGATTTTTTTGTTTATTTCGACGAAAAATAGATTTTTTCGAAAATACATTGGATGTCTGCACTTTTAGGTTAATCAGTGTTGGTTTATTAGACAAATGCGTTTTACAACCCATACCAGTATTATCTTAGTATGAATGAATTGAGTAACACCTGAACGTTTTTGGAACTTGGTTCTATTCACCATAGACCTTCAAAATTCAGAGTTTCAGATAAATACATTCAAGGTTTCTGGGTACAAACATGTGAGTTAGTATACAAGTAGCGTGATAGACGGATAAACATAAAGCATTCACTCGATATCTCTAATAAAATCCATTTAAAATCGATTATCGTATTTCCATCACACATGAAGCGCTCATCATCTTATAAACTCATCACTCATTTGATAGTATCATATTAGGGTACTTCAACAAAATTTCTAGAATAAAATTTAAAAGTCATTTTGTAAATATTGTACTTTCGTTTAGCTCTTAAAGAACTCATGATTCTTTGTAATGATAGCATGTAATCTGTATCAATAAAGCATTTAGTGAGTTTTAAATTCTACAAACCTATTTACTTTTTATCTTATAGGGTACAGTAGAAATTTCTGAATCTCCTGTGGACAAATTCCAGATACTTATTAATATAACTGGTAGTCACTTAAGTGATCAAGAAAGATTGAAATATCGTCTAAGAAGTACAGAAGATTCACTTTTTGTTGAACTGGTATGTTTTGATGCAACAATATTTCCTACGCATTTAACTTTGTGAGAATATTTTTAGTATTACAGACATTTTTCACGTCGTATTTGTGTATATGTACAGAATATAGAGGACATTTTGGTTAGTTTCAATACAACCCTTTATTTGAAAACTGATTGAATACGTAAACTTCCAGTTTAGACACACTGATGAAACAGATATTTTTATTTATAATGGTTCACCATGAGTCCATTGGCCGACATTGCTATGCTATTTATAGTTACATGATGATTATTCTTGGCAAATATTTATTTTCCGTCAGCAGAGGGGGAATCGATTTCGAGATAGACTCTTCAATTGTCCAAATAACTTATCTCAAATTGATATCTACCCGGTCAGTGAAAACGTTTCTTCACTGTAAATACAATTAGTATTCGATTGTAACATAAATAAACTTAAATTACTTCATTTATCATAACTTAAAAAGTCTAGAAAAAGTTGTTGAAAATTTCAAACATAGATTGCTCTTTACTTACCATTTATAATGTCAAAACATTTCATACCTATTTCAATTGTATTGTAGTGAACAAGAACACCAGTGGGGACAGTCGAATGTATTTAACACAAACTTACAGGACTTGTGAATAAAACGTAGCAATCATAAAGTAAATGCTTAATTTGCAAAATGTCCATCAATTGTCCCAAAGTGACTGAGACTTCATTGTTATTGCATTTTCATACAAATCGCATCCTGTTTCTATTCTTTACTGTTCGATCCTCTTGTCCCTCTGCTGCCAGACCTTATGTTCACGACGGACATCATATACTGCTTACGTCAATATAAGTAGTACACACCACAGTATCAGTGAATTTTCTACGAGGGATTTGTTGGGTCTCTTTTGTTTTATGCGAACAGTGCGATTGCCCTTTCCAAAAAATTAGCGATTAAGGTCGTGTTTCTTAACATCTGTACCAGAAAATTTAATCGGAGCAGTGAAATGTTTTTGATAACATTACTTTTCTATGATATTGCTATTACCTAGATGTGTTTACTGACTGCTATTACCATTATTTCCAAAGAGAATTAAATATTACGCTTTATTTGAAATTAAAGTTGTATGCATTTAGTAAATTATCCTCCGTTATTATATGGATCACAATCGAAGTATCACCTTTACTCACTCATTTTCATCACAGATTATGTTGTGATGAATAGAACTGTCTACAAAATTAATTCGAACTTCTTTGAAGTAATTGACTATGTGAAGCAGTCAAAGGTATCTGAAGCTTCTTATTTTATCTAATCTTACTTGAAAGTTGTTCTTTTCGTACTGAGTTTTCAATCTTATGGGATATAACTATAAAATTATGTCAAGTTCTATCCTATTATGTACGAACGAAAATATCTGCTGCTATGATAACAATAATATGAACTTGAATTAGTTCTTGAAAATACTTCCCTTTTAAAAAAGTAAATGATTAGAAAAACACATGAAATCATTGAACGTTAAATATTCTTTATTCATTTATTGAAACCTTGTGCTAAGAAGTATTTGTTTCTGATTTTTGAAAATAATACATTTTGTGTGTGGTCTAATCTTTTCTCTTTGAAAAAAATTATTTTCAGTATCCACAGTTTTCATCTCCAGCTCATCGTAATGATGGTGAAGAAGAGAAAATCTATTTACAACTGTTATGCGTTACAATTATATCCCTTGTTCTAGTTGTATTTGTTGTTTCTATTATATTTTCTTGTTGGTGGACTAAAAGTTATAAAATACCAATTGATTTAGGTATTACAGATGCTGGTAAGTTGTCGACATGTTTTGGATTTTCTACTAAGTTAATAAAAATGATGATGAATTTGCTAAATGGGAAATGGCAATAAAACTTGACTAAGATAAATTCTATACATAATGATTGTAATCTAGTTAAATAACATGGACTATTGGCATTTATTTGAACTTGAACTCCTGGTAAACGTTTGTACGAAGTGAATATTTGGATGGAAATACCGCTTAAATATTTTGGAGTCTAATTTTTCCATTAGACGTTTTTAAAATATTGTTCAGGTGCTTAATGTGATACTGACTTCTTTTTGTTCTTCAGAGACCGTTTCTCTAACTTGTAAGCCAAAATTACACTAAAACACAAGAGGTACGATTTATTATAAGTCAGTAACCAATTAAGTTCAAATGTCATTCATTTCACTAAAATCCTTCGGCCTACAGCTTCCATTTGTTTGAATCCAATGTTTCGCAACTCCTATAAATGGCCACTGTGAGTCTAAATTAAGAGTTTTAAGTTCGCTTTGTAGAGCAGTGAATAATGTATCTCTGAAAGCGCTTATAAACGTGTGACTGTACGAGAGAATTTTATTCTTCATCATCATTCATACCACTGTATTAAAGAGCCTATACCGTTTATCAAGTACAACTATATATCATCGCCTTTTGATGTTGAGAGCTGGTGAAACCATCCGAAAATGATATTTGAATTTTTAACAACTTTGAATAATTAATTCAAGAACGATCTACAAAATAAATCATTTTGTAGATTGAAACTCTTTAAGCCTCCAATAATAAATGTCAACGAATGGCGCTGACTAGAATAACCATGAATAAAACTACTAATGGAAAGCATCCAGTCATCGTCCTCGAAACTACCATAGTCCGTTGCGAAAAGCTTTTAAAATCTATTGGCAATAGTTTCTACCTTGTGATCTATCATTTCTCAAAAATAAGAAAGGGAGATACCTTCAAATCATATTGCTAAGTTTTTAATTTTGTTAATTTTCAGAAAATCATTGAATAAGTTTTGTCTAACGTTTACACTACAGAATGTGCAATTATTCATTTTAAAAATGATTGAATCGTTGAATGGTAGATGCTTTTATAAATAACCAGTCTGACAAATAAACAATATGGTAACCCTGACATATAAAATATTTCTGATAATGGAACTTACATTTTAAAATCCTAATAGTTTGAAACTGATTGAACATTACTTGACATTTCCGTTTAAGAAATTCGGAGATATGACGTGAAAGCGAACCAGTGTAAATAACCAACCTTTCAAACAATCAGTAATGATTTGTGATTTCACTGTGCGGAAATTTTAGGCTGAAATTGGTCGATTCTTCTTGTCATATGTGCATCATGGAAGGGTTGCCTTGATATAACTTCTGTCATATGTTTCACTATATTTGAATTGTCACTAACGCTGGAATCCAAGACTCAAGTTTCATACTAAATGGGACTCATCTGAACATACTTGTATTCAAATATTTATGTTCATATAGAGACTAATCAGTTGGGTCTTTGAGTTTCAACAACGGGAAGTCATAAACAACTTCTAATAACTTCATTCCTGTCAAGCAAGTTATAAGTATTTAAACTCAACAACACACTTGGTGACGCCTTAGCGCTTGAAACGAAAGGTACCAAATTCAAATCTTTATTTAAAGAATTAGACTGGATGGAGGTATGTCCAGTTGAAGTGCTCCGAATAGAACAGAACACAACCTGAATGCTACTGGTAGTCTTAATCCCAACGTAAAAATACTCACAAATAACTGTTTACTTACTAGATCAGATAATATTCATCATAGATGTAACCCTTTGATCGATGGTTCTCATTATGGAAAGATTCATATTAAGTCGAAAAATTTATCTACAACCCTAGATTTTATCTGTTTCATTGAAGACATAACACACTTCTTAGAATTAAAATTTTTTTGGCGAAAACGCTTTTTGATTCAAATGCTGATTGCTAGACAAAAAAGCACCAATCTTTCGCACATACAAATATACTACAATCCAAGTTTGTCTACTTTATGGATCATTGTTTCAATGAATGTTCTTGTTCCTAGTGGATTTTAAAATAATTGTTTAATGGTCAAACTGTTTAAGAGGCTACGAAATTTAAACAGACGTTTAAGATACCATGGTTATCAGTTGGTATTAGGGATTGTTATAATTCTACTACCCATGCTGACTTAGTTTAATGAATCTAAAATAAGCATTCAAAAAATAAATGACCACAAATTGAAAATGTGATTTATTTTTTCTCTTTTAACCTAGTTTACTATATTTCTTTGAAACATGAGGTAATTTATGCACTGATAATAATACAATTCAATATTTATTTATTTATTTATGTTGTTACATGTCTGGTGACTTTCAATTTTTTGAACGTATTAAGTGCTGTTTATGCATAAATTCATATTCTTTGGTGTTGGTATGTTGTATGTACAAGAGAATTTTTAAAAAGTGAAACCTTGATTTCACAGTTTACACTAGGGACTGATGTTAATGAAAATTGTAAATGAAAACTGGGAAACACTTGCATGGAACTCCTCAGTAGTGTTCATTCACTACCCCACCGGTGATCAAACTGGAGATTCTTAGACCTTGTAACGAGTGTCCAATCCTTGGCACACTGTTGCTATTCAATGGTTTACATGCAAACCACTACTAAGGCATCTCCTATTAGGGAAAAGTAGCTTTCCGTTGCTTTCAGTAGTTGTTTAACTAAAAACAATTTGTGAAACAAACTGGAATCTCGCAACCTCCATAATACCCTATAATAAAAAAATATCAATTGTTTTGAAAGCGTAGAAACATTTATTGTTGTTGTTTAAGTTAATTTGCCAATGAACTGAAATCAATCTTAGTTTGATTTTTTTCTTCACTTTAAGGCTAATCATTTATGTCATAATTGTACTTGCACAATTGAACCTCATTCATTCAGTCTTTTTAGTCATTAGAGGTTAAATATCAGAAATAACTTATTTTATTTGGTCACAATTTCCTAGCACTTTATATAACATTTGTATTTTATCTACCGTGCTATTGCATGTGTCTAGAATCTGCCGTGATTAATAACAATATAATCTACTTGTCGTCTACTGTTTACATCATTTTCACATCAGATAACACTTATTTACACTTTTTTTGTCAGAAATTCATTTGACCATCGGGATATTTTATTACAAACATTGAATGATATGAAGTTCTATGATGATTTCGTTTTTGTTGACCAAAACTGTTTACTGTTTTTGAATGTTAAATTTTATTACAAATCATCTTCATAGATATTTTTCTAAATAAAGTTGTACTTAGTGTCTAACAAATGTTCATTAATTCATTACTATTTTGGTCTTATTTAGAGTATCTTATTAGAATAAAATACACAGCATGAAATTGTATGTTGTTTCTAGTTATACATTTTCAGTTACTATTGTTATTATTAGCATTAATGATTTTAGTTATTAATTATTTATTGTGTCCATTAGAATAATGCATGTACTACTGTCAAAATTATTAAAATCTCTAATGTTTTTTTAGAATTATGAATGGTAGCATCAATGTTTTCTATTGAAATAGATTGGAAAATATCTGTTGGTCACCATATGCATGTCGATGTGGATCTTATTGTGAAATTGTGCTAAACGACATTTTTCCCATGTTGATTATGAAATATACATCATGAGGACGATTGCGGAATTTGAAGCTAGCTTTCGTCAAGTGTAGGATCTTAAACGAACAGTTTTGTGAAGTCCTGTTTAAGAGCTGATAAATCTAAAGAGTGTTTCTAGGTTGTAAAAGATTCTTCAGACGATATAATCGTTTGGTAAAATCAAATCCAACTATCTTACTACTGCAATGGCTATTCAGTTTAGTCAGTTTCTACTATTCCCAATTGATCCTTACATGTTATGGTTGATGACCAAACTATACATCACAAACTATCAAACAGTTAATTAAATTGAAATAATAACAATATTCTCTTATGTGTTTCCTAAATACTATATTTTACCAGGATGGTTTAGTAGACGGAGAGAAGAAAGCTTCAAGGAAGAAATCAGCTGAATCTGCATCAAACGTCAATGTAGCTAATATATCTACAAATTCTGGAAATCAGTGCGAATTGATTGAATTAATATCAACTCCACATTCAAGATCTGAAAATAACAATCAAACAAAAGCACATGTAAGCTTTTTTTACTTTTGTACAGTAATAATGATGACAATAATTAATTGTGTCATATTGAGAAAAGTCTTAAAGATCATGTTTATAATTGACTGAGAAACCCTGGGTAACTATTTCCTCTCCATAAGGATTGACAAGGCTTGGACCTTTAATTATCAACCATGACATGACCAGAACTCCATCAAAATAATAAATGATAAATTATTAGTTATTACGTTTATAAATTCATTCACTTCTTGTCACCATGTAGAAATTGAATGCTGATTGTCTGAATTTGGTATTTTATCTTAATTTTCCATTTGGAACGAAACGGTGAATGCTCACTGAATTCGCATTCATTTAGTGCTTCTAGAGGTTGATTTATAGATGAAATCTTTCAATGTGATACAATATGTACATCACAAAAGTGGCCGTTATTCACTGTATCACAAAGCATGATTTGAGTGGGAGTTCACCTTGATAAGACTTGTTTAAAGATATGACTTTCAAAGAATCGACAGTTTTTGCAACGTTTTCTTAACTGTTATCAGAAACCTAAAGTTGATGCATCCGTATGACATTTTTGGATAAAAAATGACTTTCAGCATTTCGAATTCATATGATTTATAATAATCGACTTTTAGCATATATCCAAACACATAAAATTACAACGTATGACCACTGATAGTCGATATCAATACAGACACTTTGTGTTAATGACAATAAAAATAACAATAATAATGATAATGATAATAACGATAATAATAATAATAATAATAATAAAAACTGATTGAATTCAGCTATATTTGTCACTGGTTTTTTCTTCACATTTCATTTATCATCCACATATTTGCGGTTGATCCATTTAAAATCATAAAGCATTTTCGACAGTTAATCATCAAGTAATTTTCTAAGTCTTTCGTATGACAAAACAATGCATCTATCTTCTGTCCTAAAACTAACATGGTTTAACATAAATTCACTAACTTGCAAAAAGTATTTTTGTACAGATAATTCAAGGAATATTGATATTAGATATTTAAAACCCCTAAGACGCTGATTATGGTTGGTTGAAATAGGAAAAGTAAACTCTTGTCTGTAAATAATGATGGTTTTCGTTACGAAAGTACCACCAGCTAGTGAGACACCAATGAATCTTCGGAACTGAGTTGTTTTGTCCTTGTTCAAGGCTGCTCGGTAAGAGATACTTGTCACCACATTAGAGATCAGACATAGGACCTCTTGGTATTGTGATGAGCAAGCAGTATTGTTATACCACGGAATTCGAATCCAAAGGTCTACATTTGCAAGTTAGATCAGTTTGCGATCTCCTATATATCCGAATGTCTGACACAGGGTTTAGGAAAATGTACTGTGACCGGTTTATTATTCGCTGAGTAATACTTCACCATAGCCTTAAACTTCTTGTTTTTAAGTAAATGTGAAATTTTTATATGTCAAGACTAATTATGCTTATACATTAACTTGAAAACGAAATATTTTACCAATGTTAAACTAGTTAAGCTGAGAAGGATTTTCAGGGATATGAGTATGGTAATGATAATAATCATAACATTGACCAGAGAATGACCATTTGTAACCGAAAACAATATTTATGGTCCAAATAATTTGGCGTTGTAATAACAATATTGGATTTTGAGGGTGATCGTTTGTCTCTTTAAGATATCGAAAGTAATGATGGGATGCCCAAAATACTCAGTTACATAATGCTAGCTAGAATCTATGGATCAGCCACACTTGTTTAAAATATCCCTAGCTATGTATGTTACTTCTTCCATAATTTAATTAATAAGGTTCAATAAATATGAACTCTGCACGGTTGATTTAAAAGGTAGATATGTTACAATTAAAGGTTATGTATAATGCTCTTAAAATCTCCTCTGACACTTGCAACTTACAAAGTTGTTTTGCTTATTTTGAATTCAGTAAGAATTTACTGCAGGACGTTTGATGGTCTGTGAAGCAGAGGTTTGTTCATTCATTAAGTCAAGCAGTCTCTTACACACGACCATTATTGCATAACGTTTAAGACAAGTTAGTTTATAATTGTCTAACTTTGGAATTTGTTTTTGCTGATCATTATCAGAGTTGTATCGTTATACGTGGTGTACACTACTTCATATATGCCTTAAATGCCACTCATTAACTGATAACTCCACTTTCAGGGAATAAAATCATCAACTCCTAGTTTTCTTCAGTAAATTTCATGACGTGACTCACGTTTTTTCCTTATTTACAATATTCGTCAATATAACAGACCCAACAGATCCACTCTTATGGAATGATTATTAACCGTATATTTTTGTATACATATGACAGGTTTACGTCTCACCGACTGTAGCGTATGCCACTGTTTCTATTGGAAACAATCCAGAATTAAACGTTTCAGCACTAACGACTATTCTACCGGCAAACTGTCCATTACCACGTTATGTTGTAGCAGCTGGTGAAATGAGGAATACTGGAAACAATAACAATAATGTGACTTCGGATTTAGATCGATTACCAGATGGGACAATTATTGGTACACCAATATTATTATCAGCTAATTCTTCGAATGGCGTTATCGCAGGTCTTCTTCCAGATTCTAGCAGTGCGAATATAAATCCATCCGTTACCTATGTGAAATTAGCTAAACCATTCGTCATAAGCTGTGAACAAAAAGTTGCGTTAGATGGATTACATATTAAAAAAGATCATCCGCTTGTTATGGGATCTGTTCAAAATGTGGATACTTCCAGTACACCAAAAACTCTAGGTAAATGAAAGTGCATCTAACTTCACAGTTCACAGTACATGGTTTCTCATTTGTTCGAAAATGTAATGTCGCGTCTAGTTATTACCTATAGTTATTTAGAGATTTTGAAACTTGATTTATTCACTTAGAAGACCATGAGATTCAATAAGAACGAAAAGCGTTCCTTTTCTGTGATAAAACGTTTTTTTATGACGTATTCCTTTCATGAAACACCACAGTACCAAATTTTAAGGTCATGTCTTGTGCAAATAAAAATAATAGCGCGGAACTATTAATAAATTTCTTGAATCACACGTCAAATGTTTAACTTATATTAGTTACTTGTCATAGATGAAATACCATTCCGTATTCATGAATGCATTACATATTCATATATTTTGTGCATGGATTCTCTAGTGATATAAAAAATGTGAATTTGAATGCCATAAACATCCGTTGTTTGAATCCCCTTAATCATATAAGCTTGAGAGTAGAATTAGTGGTTGTTAGAAGTCATTTTTATACAAAATTGTTTATATTAGATAGAGACAATATTAATTTTCAGATCCTAACGAAAAGCGCAATTGCTTAAATTGTTTCATTCCTCATGTAATTTTCGAGTCCTCTATAATACCTGATTGTTAATGTTTCACTTTTCAAATCATATGACTTTGCTAAGATCAAGTTTATAGCAATTAAGGCATATTCATTGTGTATTTCAGTTTTTTGACGCATCAATGAAAGCATTTCCTTAAGGTGAATTAGCATGATCAATTCAAAGTAAAGATAAATCTCCAGAAATATCAAATTGAAACATTTCTAGTCTACTTAAGTAAATACTAATTTTGAATACTTTATTTTAATTCTATAGCTACAAGTTCTTTGCGCTTGAGAACACTTCCTTCAAGACGTCATGTTGCTAAGGAATTTCTCGATGAGTCTGTCCTAGCTACAATGTCACGTTCAAGAACTCCTCTGAATAATAAGATTGGTGTAAATCAAATTACCCAAGTTCATAGTGAAGCGGTAATGACTACAGCGCATACTTTACCTAGTGGTGCATTAGTATCTTTAAATCCATCAGTTCTGTTAATTCGAACAAGTCAACCAGTTAAAACTATTAATGAGGAATGTGAAGGCGGTATGAATGACCGTAACCAATTCAATGTTATAACAACACTCCCTGAACTATTGTCTAGTAAATCTGTTGGGACAATGTCTACTGGAAGTAAGTTCAGTTTATCACGCTTTTATTATTTAACTAATTCGCAAAAGTCTTTCGTTTAAAAATAGATGGCTCCATTAATTCGTTAACTTTTGACTCAGTATACATTTGTGGTTAAATATGAAATTCATACCCAAAATAAACTGTTTTTCATTATCGTTTGTTGATAAAAATGTCATGTAAGTATAGGGGATTTCATTGAAAACATGCACCGCTCAATGTTAGACCATCATTGAAAACCTGGAAGTACTGGATAGCCGTTTCGTTCTAGTATGGAGCTTAGAAGTGGGAATCCATGACTCCGCGTTCGGGAATCGAGCCACTGGTTGTTGACTGAGTTGTCTACCGGTTAAGAGTTAAGGCATGAGACAGTGAGTCTTGTATTCGATTCCCACGTGTGGGATCGTGGATGTTCTCGATTAAGGAGTCCCTTACTAGAGTAAAACGATCATTCAGTGCATCAAGATTTTCAGTCGTGGTCTTACATTGGTCGATCTACGATTTTATTAGAAATGCTGTTTTAAATTTTCACATATTTTAAGAAAATTATTTAAAAAACTGGTTTTCTGAAATACTTTTGAATGTGGTTCTTTTAGGAAGCCGTCTAGCTATTTAGCTTCTGTCATTCATTGTTAGTTCCTTTTTCTAAATGATCATCTCCGTAACATTTTTATAATTCGTATTTTCTCAATGACCTTTGATGTGACCTGATTAGCTATAGTCATGTTTAATCTCAATATCATTGATTGTTACTGTATATATATATATATATATATATATATATATATATATATATATATATATATATATATATATATATATATATATATATATCAATCTTAGCTGAATTTCTTGATTGCTGATTACCAGTCAGTACTGTATTCCACTTTATAGTACTGAATAAAATCAATCCACTATAATCCGTTGTATATCAAGCCAATTACACTATTTCATATTATTATAGGTTAGTTATGTCGTACACAAGGTTCATGAAACTTTATGAAATCTAGGAACCAAAATTCACTTATTTTAAAGATGCGATATTTTTGTGGAAATGAGAATTTCAACGTTGCAACCAAAAAATTCACACTTGTGTCGCATTTGAACTTCGGCTGAGGTAATGTCTATAGGGATTTAAAGAAAATTTGCCTATTGCCAATCACGTAAATTATTTACTAGAGTTTTATCTTAATTACTCCTGATATTGGCTTATGGTCTTTGTCAATGAATAAACTCCTTGCGTAAACATGTAGAGATTGTAGTAATGCTGTAATCACAGCTTATTTAGAAAATAAAGTATTTTACAACACTTTTGAAACTTATGTCAGATTTAACGTTAAAAATGTGAACTATCAATTCATGGATCCTATTATTATCTCTTCATTAGTACTATTACTTCCGAATTACTGATATTTACTATGAGTTTCGTACCCCACTTATTAAATCATATATTTATTAATCGCTTCCTTTTTCACTTTATGAAGCCCTTTTTTTGACCTATGAGATCTAGAACGTACAACTATGAATTTCTTTGATTTTTAAATTATACTTTCGATTAATATGTGGTTGTTTTAGGATTTTGTGGGGTTTTTTGCTTGTGTTTATTTCTTTCATCATTAAAGTTGCCAGTGCAGTTCCCCTGTATGTCAGTAATTCTATATCGGGTGCTTCGGGAGAATTAATGACAACTTCAAGTATCGGTTATATGCCATCGTTTTCAATTCCATCAAGTGTAATTCCTGTGTCGTGCGATTCTCATCAAATCTTTAATCATTATATACCTGGTCATGGTTCAGATGAAACAAGCGGTATTCTTTCAGACTCTGAAGGTAGTACAAGCTTTACAGCTGGAGCTCAAACAAACACATTTTTTCTGTCACATCCATTTTATCCGGCTTCTGGTAGTTCTGATGTGCAAGTTATACAACCGGTAATTAGTAGTAGTGGTATTATTCCTAAATCAACAAGTTCCACATTTTTAAAGTCGCTGACCTCACAAGTAAGTGAAAAATACAAACTATCAGTTGTAAGTTACAGTTAATTGTCATTTTGAGTTCTATTTTATACTTCCAGGATTTTGTACATAACCACTTATGGAATGTGATTCATAGTGTGTATCCAAAGTTTTGATTTCTTTTCATTTTAAGTACGTGATTCTGAGTGATCGTTTTGCACATATGTTTTGTACTTTAGACGGATTTTAGTGGATTGTATAAGTATTGATGAAACCTCATTATGGAATGGACTGCTTATAATTTTGTGAATCTTTTATAAATCTCCGTTTGGAAACAAGTTCTCTTGAGTAGAAAATCATTGTAATTTCACAGATTTAAAAATGCTCAAACGATATCCTAAGTTATTTAACGTGTCACGGTTGCTTACCCAGTGGTATGAAAATAACATGACTTCCCCTAACATCCAAAGATCCGAATTTCGTTACTTGGCTATGCTCTATTAATGAGCCCCATATTATTAAACAAGTGATCTATTGCCTTCTGGTTTTCTCTGTTTATCTAGCTGGAGTCCATAAATAATATGGACTACCTTAAAATTGAATTATGTACACAAACTTCCCATGGTAATAATGTGAAGTTGATTGTTGAAGCATATGCTGGTTTTATGTCATTGACCTGTATCATAAAAAAATTACCTAATGACTTGAGAGGCAGCGTCCAGATAAATAAATAAATAAATAAATGGTTTGTAAAAGTGTGTCGGTAAGTTGTTTGCTTAATGAAGATTAAGTGCAAAAGATACAAAGTGTTAGAATTAACAACTTATTATCGAGTATCAAAAATTAGAAGGGTTTAGGATTATGATAGGACAAATAATTAGACTGATTGCTGTAGATTGGTTAAAAATTAAAATAATTCATTCCATAAACTTCTAATGCAATGGTGTCGTCACATTGATGATTATATGTAGCGTAGACCATTTAGAATTTATTAACCTTGATTGTAAAATTAGCAAAAATATCTCGACAAACTGAAGTGATACAACTTTAAAAGACTAAATTTTTAAAGAAAATCTAAGTTGCAGGAGGATTCAAACAAATATTTTTGAACTTACCAGCTTCTTGTCAAATAAGATCCATCATTAAAAAGCTAACCCATTTAATTTTTTGTGAAGAGCTGTGATATGATTGTAATAAGGCTAGGATAATTTTATCAAGATTATTTCCTACGAGATGGGGTCGCTGATCCCATTACGAAACCTTTATCCGGGCTTAGGGCACACCATAACCCTAGATGGGCTGCAGATGGAGTTATTGTGAGAAAGGTAATCACTTGTATTTCACTAACCACTTTTGCCTGTACTAAGTGGAAATGAGACTTTACTAACAGGCGAGTCTGAGTTTGTATGGCACCATTCGAATAACGTGGAGAGGGCTATATCAACCAATTCTTTCTTATCTCATCAACCCGCTTTCATAAATGGAATTTGTCAGTCGTGGTAACGTCATATTATTTAACCAAACAAACAAAAGTAGACTTTATGTGATCTCCTCTATTTACTAACATCTTTCTTCACGTCATGTTTATTGTGGTTTGATGACATTTTGTTCAGTTTGTTCAAAATATTCACTTTTGATATTAGTTTCATATTTTAGTTGAGATTGTGAGATCGTTAACGTTTCAGCTATAGTGTATATCGATCTTTCCACACAAATACTAATATTCTTGATTTGATATGATACTTAAATGCTCATATTGAATCCTATGTATTTGAAATTGACTGTCTACTATCAATGAAACCTCGTATGATAAGGTTGTGAAAACGCTAAGGTATGTAAGTTATTTTCATATTTCACTCTCCTTTCGAATTAAAACTCAATCACGTTTTCAAATAGTTCTTTATATTATTTTTGAAAATGTGCTTTCAATTGTTCAAAGATTACAAATCGATCTGCATCAACTATTCTTCCATTAACTGTTCTAACTGAAAGATCCAATTCAAATGGTGCAACTTATATGTCTACTGATTTGATTGCTGAAATGGCATCTTGTCCATAACATAGTTAATTATTCTTTGCTGGAGATACTAATCAAAATTGAAAGCTGAGTGAGCAGAAAGCGCGTCAACTAAATAGAACATATAAGTATATAATTACTATTAAATATTAACTGGCTTAATATTAAAACCAGTGACAGCGGATGTATGAATGATTTTAGAGATTGGACGTTCAGTTATTTGGTGCGATAGTAGCTGACTATTAAATATTTATATTTCCATCGGCACAGTCAGAGATAGAAACTGTTGATAGCCTATAGAAGATATTTGGAAAATTCCACGATGAATGATATTTAACTGTAAAATGACCTTCAGAATCTACCTTTCAGCTATGAAATCGATCCAATATACAGAATAATAAAATCTCATTATATTACACGCTACAAATGAATCAGACGCAAATAAATATAAGCCACGTGTGTGTTACCATTCCCAGACATCGCCTCGATCATATAATTTGTTTTAAAAACCTCACATACTATGTATCCCGATGAATGCACGGCTTAACAATTGTTCGATTTCAAGTTTGAAAATGAAATGTTTACTACGTCTGAACGTAGCAAGAGTACCGACTAAAAACATGGCACTACAAAGAACTGAGGCCAACTCATTTGTATACCTCGTTCGATGGAAAACGAGACAGGTTGTAATGACAATAATAATATATCTCTGCAAGAGCAGATACACGCCACTTAACAGGCATAATCTAAAAATTACAACATTTTTCGGCTCATAGTATGGTTCCCAAATAGGGTCGTTAAATAGATATATTCAATAAAAGTGAATAATAGTACATTCATGCAGATGTCTTGGAGCGTTAATGATTAGGTTTCTGCTTTAGCATTACACTAACTACAGTCTTCAGAATATTTTTCAAAGTGACAACGCGTCCATGGACGCGTCATGGTCGTGATAAGTATTTACGCAATACAACGTTTTAGGTTTATAATTGTTATAAAATAGATTTGTAGAGCGCTCGTTGTAAACGATGACCCTGAGGACGCGTGCGTCAAGTTTGTTCCGGACGTCAGAAGTTCCATAGCTGTGCCTTCAGAGAAAGATTATGAGAGAAACTGAAGAGCAGCAAAGTACTTGGATATGAACACTAATCAATGATTTACATTTTGTAGTGGAACAGGTAAATGTATGACTTAATTCACAGTAGCTCTAACTGCTAAAGTAAATTTGATCAAAGGCTCCAGATGAGAGAAAGCAGTAATAAAGAACAATGAATTGTGATATCTGGAATACCTACAACTAACCATCATTGATGACCACTGAATGTTTAACAGGTGTATAGGTTATTGCCGGCAATTTGGACGGAACCTCGTAGTAATGCGAAACCGACCATTCTGGAGGCCAGTACTAAGATTGCTATCAAACGGTTGCCGAAAAGAAGAGGAATAAGAATTGGCCCGCCCAACTGAACTTGATTAGAATCGTAAAAATAACAAACATTTAGCATATTTATTCAACCGACATGGCTGAAACTGTTAAAAGTACTGAAAACTAGTGAGAAAATACTGCCAGATAATTATGATTTTTAGGCAGTTTGAAAATAAAAGTATGCTAGTTCTAATTACATTTCTTCATTCTGACATGGACGTATTAATAGACCACTACTCAATAATGTTTGATGGGGCTTGATGATTAATGCCTACTCAATATGTGGAATAAAACACGACCAAATTTCCATTATTGGATGGACACTTGCAACTATTTCTAAAACAGTGGAGGAAATGATTGAAAAATGAAATATCCTCACATTGGCCTAAAAGTAAACAATGATAACTAATTGAATGAATTGATGAAAAGTAATTGTCAGTGGGAATCTTCCCAGAACCGGTTCAAAATGCCAAGTTGAAGTTAGGGACTATCGCAATAGAAATCTTGGTCATGTTCTGGGTTTTGCAACACTTATGAAACCCTATGAGATACCGAACATTTACTTCTGTATAATCAAGCAGTAATGTTCACACTCAGATATAAACTGTCCACAAACGACAATAACTAGGCTACACATATCTGTCGATTTCTGAAGTGCCTACATCTAACTGGCGGTCGCCCAACATTTATCGTCAATATCGACCAAGCAATAAGTGAGGGAAACTGGCTGAAATAATTTAAGCTGAGAATTCCATAATGTACTAAAGTATAATACTGAGTGAAACTGATGATAATAAGGCGTTTCGTTCCTCTAAATGGTTCTCAATGACTTCCTATCACTCTGAAATCAATTTTATCATAGAACTATCTAAATGGCTACCTGAAAAACTACTGCGTTAGACATAGGAATCAAAATGACCGAAATTCAAATATTTCATCCTGACGCAGAAAACGATCCAATAAACAAACGTTAATTCACTTATATCAAACCATCGTATTCTCTTAACTGCGTGAAGCTTCATTGCACCGCTTGGAGTCAAAGATCATACTATTACACAAATTGTGTGCTTAATTCACATGGTCTTGTACTAAAAACCAGATTTATATGTGTGAACAATGCTCCAATCAGCTATATAGTTGGAATTTTACCGGACATCATATGGAGAAAAGTGGTTTATGAAGTCGACTTCTACATAATTGTGAATGAACACTAATAATCTCAATAAACGGCATCTAATTTCTGACTACAAAAGTCGAACTAGCAGGTTAATGATTTCAAAAGATAGTGGAATCGCAAAAGTGTTAACCTCTTCGTGTTCTAACTTTCAGCGCAGCATAATAGAGCCTTATCGGTCCAGCATCATATAACAAGACAAAGACACAATCCTAACCAGAATTAAGTAAACATTTTCAGTGAAAGAAGACTCAAAAACGAACAAATCCTGGATAAAAGTCGATTTATACAACACAAGGATACAAATTTAGGAAATGACGATGTAGTAAATAAGACGCTTTTGGTTGGTTTTTAGATTATCCGCTCTGTTGCTGTCACATCTACCTGTCTTGCTCGAAGCTTGTAGTGGTACAGAAAACGTTTTTGGA